TGACGGAGTAAGACCCTGTCTCTAAAGAAAAAAGAAAAGAAGGGCAGGGCGCAGTGGCTCATGCCTATAATCCCAGCACTTTGGGAGGCCAAGGCAGGCGGATCATGAGGTCAGGAGTTTGAGACCATCCTGGCCAATATGGTGAAACCCCGCCACTACTAAAAATATAAAAATTAGCTGGGTATGGTGGCACGCACCTGTAGTCCCAGATACTCAGGAGGCTGAGGCAGGGGAATCATTCCACTGCCTGCTCTCCAGCCTGGTGACAGAGCAAGACTCCATCTCAACAAAAAAAAAAAAGAAAGAAAAGAAAAGAAATCAGAATGGAGGCATGCTTATGACTAAGAAGCTCAGGGAGACTCTCAGGAGTGCTAGCAATGTTCTCCATCTTGATCTCTAGATCAGGGTAAAAGGTGTTTCCACCTCATGAAAAATGTGTTGAGTTGTACACATAAAATTTTTGCACATTACTATATGTATGTTATATTGCAATATAAAACATTAATAAATGTATAAAAAAAGTAAAAAAAAAATAGTGCTGGGTGAAGAGGATCAGAAACAGAATGACATCAATAACCCACTACAGTTTAATAATTAAAAAGCACATGCACATTAAGCAACAACACACATTTTGCAAGAACACAAACAAAAAAAACACATGAAGCACATTAAAATGGATCCCTATGGGTCAAAGAATGGCAGTGAGAAATAGCGATAAAAGGGAACATATCAATAATGAAATAAGAGCAGGGGCCAGGCACGGTGGCTCACGCCTATAATCCCAGCACTTTGGGAGGCCGAGGCGGGTGGATCACGAGGTCAAGAGATCGAGACCATCCTGGTCAACATGGTGAAACCCCGTCTCTACTAAAAAAAAATACAAAAATTAGCTGGGCATGGTGGCACATGCCTGTTGTCCCAGCTACTCGGGAGTCTGAGGCAGGAGAATTGGTTGAACCCAGGAGGCGGAGGTTGTGGTGAGCCGAGATCGCGCCATTGCACTCCAGCCTGGGTAACAAGAGCGAAACTCCGTCTCAAAAAAAAAAAAGAGCAGGGCCTTCCTAGGATCACTGGGGATTATGTGCCATCCAAGAAAGAAAAGGAAGAAGGGGAGGAAAAGGAGTTAGACTTTGGGAAATCTGGGCAACCCACTGAGGTTTCTAGCACTGTCCAGGGGATCCTGCTTGGTCTCTGATTGCTAGAGCCCCAAGCTCTGTGCAGCACGCTTTACACACACATTACCCGGTCTCCTTTCCTGGGAGGGTACACATTGCTCACAGAGGAGACAGATCTCCTGAAGGACTGAAGCCCTTAAGGGGCCTGGATGTGGGCGGCTCATAGCTGGGGCCCCACTGGAGTTCTAAGGGGAAGGGGAATTTGAGCTGGGACTTACAGGTAACCTAGGATTTATTGCGAGTTAAGAAATGGACACAGAGGGAGGGGAATGTGGTGCATGGTGGAGTCAGGGAAATAACCCCATTAAGGAAAAAGGTTCATGCTTAGCTTATTTACAGGCCAGCATGTGCCAGAGCCAGACATCAGTACACATCCTCCACGAGACCTGCCAGATCCAATAGAACCACTCCTGCTTTTATTTAATCAATACTTTTAATTAATTCACTTTTTTTCTTAAAATGTTTTAAAAGATAGCATCATGTAAAGATGTACAAATGCCTAATAAGCACATGAAAAGGTGTTCAATACCACTAATTATTAGGAAAATGCAAATCAAAACCACAATGAGGTACCACCTAATACTCATTGGAATGGCTAATATTAAGAAATAGAGAAGTGTTGGCAAGGATATGAAGAAAGTGGCATCCTTGCACATAGTTGGTGGGAATGTAAAATGGGACAGCTACTGTTAAAAAAAACCAGTAGGGCAGTTCCTGAAAAAAATTAAGCATAGAATTACCATTAGATCTGGTAATTCCACTTCTGCGTATATACACGAAAGAATTGAAAGCAGGAAGGGATATTTCTATGCCCCATGTTCATAGCATCATTATTCACAATAGCCAAACAGTAGAGGCAACACAAGCATCCTATAATGAATAGATAAACAAAATGTGTTATATACATACAGTGGAATGGATGAATGGCTGAACAAAACTTGGTGTATACATACAATGTGATATGATTCAGCCTTAGCAAAGGAGGAAATCTGACACATACTTCAACAGACATCACACAAAGCAAGATAAACTACTCACAAAAGGACAAATGCTGTATGATTCCTCTTATGTGAGTACCTAGAATCATCAAAAACATAGAGACAGAAAGGAGAATGGTGGTTGGAGGAGGGGGAGCATTTACTGGGTACAGAGTTTCAGTTTTACAAGATGGAAAGAGCTCTGGAGATGGATGGCAAAGGTTATACAATGATGTGAATGTACTTAATGCCACTGAACCATACACTTAAAAATGGTTAAGATGGTCAACTTTATGTTATGTGTATTTTACCATAATATTTTAAAAGGTAGCATTGTATCACTACTAAAAATGAAAAGCCTCTTGTCCTGAAGGAATGGTCTCCTTAAAAGACAATGCTGCTCCCAAGTACAGGCTGGTGTGAATGTTGCCCTACATGCTGGTGCCTGATGAGGCTGTGCATGGAGACCTCATCTTGTTTTATTTTAAGGGGAGATCAGCAAGTGCCAGGGAAGTGTTAAAGGTGCTCTGGAACCAACTTTCTCCTTGACAAATTCAGGATCGAGAGAGCCACTTCCTCCCCACGCAATTAACAAAGTGGTGACTGTGAGCTTCTACAATTGTTTCTTGTGCCAGGGGTCATGGGTATTTCACAGTTTGAAGAATCCTCCCTTGTAAGGACAAAGGAGTAGAGGCCATGAGCCTCTTGGGCAGGGGTAGGCCAGGTCATGCCCAGAAAGAGGAGAAGGTGATCCTGACTGGGAAGAGCCCTACACAGGCCCTAGATGTGGCCCTGGGCTGTGGGGGCAAGGAATTTCTAGGTCTTAGGTGCTAGAGCATGGGTACCTTGGCACCAACGACTCCTTGCCCTATGAAGGGCCCAGCTGAAGGGGAACCAGATCAGAGCACTCTTTAGGTGCCAGGCCCAGGGCCCCACTATCAGGGGCTGTAGTTGCTGAGGATAAGTAAATAAGTAAAAGCCATTTTCCATAGGCCAGGGCATGGTCTATAATGACTATGGTAGAAGGTGGAAGAGAGGGCAAGGGAGGGAGAAATTGTGAAGGATGTCACCAAGACGTCAGTAGTGGACATCTTTTTTTTTTTTTCCTTTTTTTGAGATGGAGTCTTGCTCTGTCGCCCAGGCAGGAGTGCAGTGGCACGATCTTGGCGCGCTGCAACCTTCCCCTCCTGGGTTCAAGCGATTCTCCTGCCTCAGCCTCCAGAGTAGCTGGGATTATAGGTGCGCATCACCACGCCAGCTAATTTTTGTATTTTTAGTAGAGACGGGATTTCACTATGTCGGCCAAGCTGGTCTCAAATGCCTGACCTCGTGATCCACCCGCCTTGGCCTCCCAAAGTGTTGGGATTACAGGCGTGAGCCACAGCGCCTCGTCAGTAGTGGACATCTTAAGTTTTAGCCTGCACTGCATCCATACCCTTTCCTGGAAACAGTGCCTCAGATTTTTGGTGGGAAGCTACCTCTCTTCCGGATTTTCAGGATACTTGGTTGTAGAAAGCTGACTCCACCCACTTCCCGCTATAGGAGACAGGAGACACAACCCTGGCTGGTCAGAAGACGCCAAACTTTCCCCCTCCGCCTCCCGGCCGACTGAATTCAGCTGCACTGCAAACAAGCCCCATTATTCCTTTAGTTGATACTTTAGAGCGACGTACCTTTTTTTTTTTGAGACGGAGTTTCGCTCTTGTTACCCAGGCTGGAGTGCAATGGCGCGATCTCGGCTCACCGCAACCTCCGCCTCCTGGGTTCAGGCAATTCTCCTGCCTCAGCCTCCTGAGTAGCTGGGATTACAGGCACGCGCCACCACGCCCAGATAATTTTTTTGTATTTTTAGTGGAGACGGGTTTCACCATGTTGACCAGGATGGTCTCAATCTGTTGACCTCGTGATCCACCCGCCTCGGCCTCCCAAAGTGCTGGGATTACAGGCTTGAGCCACTGTGCCCGGTCAGAGCGATGTATCTTTTAACCGACTTGGAGGACAGGGGAGAAGGAAGAGAGAGAGAGAGAGACACACACACACACACACACACACACACGAGAGGGGGGGGAGAGAGAGAGAGAGAGAGAGAGGGAGAGAGACTGACTGTGTGTGTGCGCGGGCACTTGGGAAGAGGGGTTCTGGTCCCGGAGTATTTAGAGCAGGGGTTCCTCAACACCCCCACCCACCACGGCCACGGACCAGCACCGGCCCAGGGCCTTCGAGGAACCGTGAGTGAGCAGTAGGTGAACGAGCATTGCCGGCCTGAGCTATGAGCTCCGCCTCCTGTCAGATCAGCGCGGCATTAGATTCTCATAGGAGCGCGAAACCAGTTGTGAACTGCGCGTGCGAGGGATCTATTGCACGCTCCTTATGAGAATCTAACGCCTGGTGATCTGAGGTGGCTCGGTCTCATCCCGAAACCACCCATCTCCTCTCAGTTCCTGGAAAAATTGTCTTCCAGGAAACCGGTCCCCTAGTGCCAAAAAGGTTAGGGACCGCTGCTCTAGAGTTCTTTCCTAGTCAAGTGTCCCTGCAGGTCCGGGCCAGAGACATCCCCCATCCATGATGTCAACTGCATGACTTGCAGATGACCAGTTGGAATGTTACATCTCATGACATTTAATTTTAAAAATTTATTATAAAGTTACAGCTTTTCTCTTTTGTAGTCTGTTGTCACATATTTCCATACGCCCTCGCAGAGAGCTCCCGGCCTCCAGTCCGTGCGGCTATAACGCCTGGAGGAGAATCTGCCAGCGCAGGCGGATGACCCCGCCACCTGGGCCCTCGTGCAGGCGGGCGGGAGCATACAGGGCCTCTCACGCATGCGCGCGGGGCGGGGCTGCGCCTCAGGCCTGCGCGTTGCCGCTAGACCGGCGGGGGTAGGGGGGCGCGGCGGCAGCGGGTGCACGCCTCAGACAGCAGCCGCGCGAACTAGACTTTGTGTTCCTCTGACCCTCCTCCGGGCGCTTCCTCCCGTGCCGTCCTTCCCCGCCCCCGCCGCGTCCTTGCGAGGCGCCTCCCATTCGCCAGGACCGACCCAGGGGTATGGAGGGGATACGCCCCTACGGCCCTCCCGGGATCCCGAAGAGAAGCCCGCGGGCGGCCTGAGCTGCCGCCCTCGTTTAGAGCCCATGGGCGCGTCCCCACGGGCCGGCCTCGGACGTCAGGGCAGCGAGCGGCGGGACCGCGGCGCGCAGGAGGGCCGCGCGCGCGCGCTCCCGCCACAGTCCCGGCCGCGCCCGCCCCGCCTCTCGGCGCCGGCTCCGGAGCCCGGTCCGCGAGCGGCGGCGGCGGCCGGAGGGACCATGAGCTGCGCGGGGCGGGCGGGCCCTGCCCGGCTCGCCGCGCTCGCCCTGCTGACCTGCAGCCTGTGGTCCGTGCGGGCGGACAACGCGAGCCAGGAGTACTACACGGCGCTCATCAACGTGACAGTGCAGGAGCCCGGCCGCGGCGCCCCGCTCACGTTCCGCATCGACCGCGGACGCTACGGGCTTGACTCGCCCAAGGCCGAGGTCCGCGGCCAGGTGCTGGCGCCGCTGCCACTCCACGGAGGTGAGTGCCGGGCCGGGGCCGGCGGCTTGAAAGCGGCGGGCGGTAGTAGCTGCGCCCCGCGGAGGCGGCGGGGCTGGGGTCCCCGGCCCTGGCTCGCCTGCTGCTCGCTGCCCTGCCGACGTCCCCTTCCAGGGTCGAAGCTTCTGTCGTGGACAGCCCGGCCTGCTCCCGTGGGAACCAGGCTCCGGGAGCTTGATTGGGTTTTCCCCTTCTTTAAAAAAGACTTGGAACGGTCGTCTTTGCGTTCAGGCAGCTTGTTTGCTGGAGGGCATTGAGCTAGGAGTTTGCAGGGACAGCGTAGACAAAGGAGGTGGTGCAAGAGCGCAAAACTAATTCGTGGGGAGGATATCTCAGCCTGTATTTTGGAAGCGGCAGGTTTGTTCCTGAAATCACGGACCTAACGCTGCGCTAGATTGCAAAGGATGAGGCCCTTTTCTAATATAAAAACCTGCCGTTTTTCTTAAGTGGTAGCGGGGGGTGGAGGGGAGGGCGGGGGATGTAAAAGGAAAATGGAAATCTTCCCTGTTGCATTTGGCTCTTGTTCTTGCCCTAGTAGTTTTACTGTAATTTGACGCCTGAAAATGTCACATTATGAGGCTCTGATACTAATCGGAACTACTAGTCAAGGCTTTTCAGGTCACGGGTGCCGACCAAAAGGGAAATAGGTAAAATTTTCAAGAATTGTCTTTGAAACCATTTGGCTTAACGTCATGTTTTCCTATAAACATGGGCTTTGTTTAGTTAATTATCTGGTGTAAACATGTATTTGTTTAGATTATTGGTCATGGTTTGAAAGAAACGTTTTCCACATCATGGAATATGATGTTTTGGTTTTGGGCCCAATTTGAACTTTTGGAAAATATCTGCTATTATCTCAACCCTTATTGTCACCCTGAGAATGCTGAGAGGGGATTTTTCTTTTCTAAACTGCTGTTCATATTAGGATGACCTAAAGTAGGCAACCTAAATAAAGTAATGGTTTGTTTTTACACTCATAATATTAACAAATCATGCCCCTCTGAGGTCTATATTTGTATGCCAAAGTGCTAAGCTGTTTTCTTCTTTGAGACAGTCTGGCTGGGGAAAAAGAATCACATAAAGCCTTCACTGTAGCCTGTCCCCCAACTCAGACTGGGCTTTTAAAAGGCCGTTTTACACCAGTAATCAGGTGCTTAAGGTGCATTTATCATCTCCACTGTGTTAAAAACGGCAGTTAGGGTCCCAGCTTGGCCGTAGAAACAACTTTTGTCTTGGGTTCATTCAGTAAATATTTGCGTTCCTGCTCTGTGCCAGTCACTGTGGTTGAGATGCATAGTGTTGCCAGACTCTGGCACTAACAATGGTAGCCTCTTTTCTAGTGGGGAGAACCGCGAGGGTCACGTGGAAGGGTAGAAAGAGGAAGAGAGAGGCAAGCTGTTCTGGAGCAAGAGCTGGCCCTCTGCAGTGTTGTGAAATCTGTGGTTTGTCTTTGAGGCTTGGTTCCCTCAAGCACCCCAAATCCATGGTCTGAACTTCAGATCCTTGCCTCCAAGTGTTCATGTGCTTCAACTACTTGTTGCTTGCCTGTCACCCCAAACAAAAGCCCCATCTTTAAGAAAGCTTGTTTTAGGTGTTTCAGTAGAAGGTTATTGGGAACTAGCTCATGTGTATTGGTTAGTCCTATTCCCCTCTCACTGTGGTGGCAGCATTGTAGGATTAAACGTTCTGAGTCAGGCCTGAACTCTGCTTATATTGTGTGACACTGGAAAACCAGTTCTGCCATTTAGCCTCAGTTTCTTCATCGGTAAAATGGAATGATGAAGTGTACATCTTTTTAGGTTGTTGAAAGGTTTAAATGGTTCCTTAATTCTGAAGAGAGGAGATTTGTTAACCTTAAGGAATCTCTCAATTGGTGGGGTTTTAGATAGTGCAACAAAGTGAACACATTTGGGCAGTGTATGAAGACTGAGTGTGAGACCATTCCCCCTGAGTTTTAGTCTCCTTTCCTTTATTGTTGGGGTCATTTTGTGTCCCTCCCACACGGGCTAGCTCCAGGTTTTCTCATGGGGATGGGGGTAGGGGAGGGGGATCCCTACAGGTGGTTTCAGTCTCGCTTTGTACCAGTGGTCTTCACACAGATGCTCTTTTTCAGTCCAGCAAATATTACTTGAAATCCTGTGTGCCAAGTACCACAAGGCATTGGTGAAGGAGACGCAACAGTAGTCAACAAAACAGATTTTACAAAATCCATCTCTCTGAAGCATAGCTTTTATTGGGAATCTTTATAAGTTAGTCTACCTGTCAATAGTTTCTAAACCTATGGGTTTTTTTTTTTTTTTTTTGAGACGGAGTTTTGCTCCTGTTACCCAGGCTGGAGTGCAATGGCGCGATCTCGGCTCACCGCAACCTCCGCCCCCTGGGTTCAGGCAATTCTCCTGCCTCAGCCTCCTGAGTCGCTGGGATTACAGGCACGCACTACCATGCCCAGCTAATTTTTTGTAATTTTTAGTAGAGACGGGGTTTCACCATGTTGACCAGGATGGTCTCGATCTGTTGACCTCGTGATCCACCCGCCTCGGCCTCCCAAAGTGCTGGGATTACAGGCTTGAGCCACCGCGCCCGGCCTAACCTATGGGTTTATATGATATCTAAATCTGCTGTTGCAGCAGGAACTTAGGAATTTATTTTAGAAACAGAAATGGTAATATAAATCTGTTAAAATTACTCATGTTTAAGAAAATGATTTAAAATTGGAATACTTGGGTATTTTACATTATAATCTTGATTTAATGAGTCTCACAATTTTTTAGTTTTAGAAAAAATATTACATCTTAATGACCTTGATGCTCTTATAATTTTGAATTGAGGAGAATTCTTGACATGTTTATTGAGGACTTACTGTGTGTTGACACCTAAGCAAAGTAATATTCAGATTACACACAAAGTTATGAGACAGGTCTTGACCCAAAAACAGCTGTAGCCAGTATGTGAAATTCATGAAAATTCATTTTGAGGGTGTTAGGTAGAAATGAACATAAAGACAAAAGAACTTTATAGTTTTCCTGGAGTTTAGAATGATGGCTCATTTTCAAGCTGTGGATTGATTTATGAAATCAGAAACCTTTCTCTTTGTTTTGCAGTGCCACTATCAATTTGGCATGTGTTAATTTCTGAATGAGATTTATTTGTCCTGTCCCTTTAAAGAGCAAATAGTCAATTTTTTTTCTTAGGCACTTTGGTATTTTAAAAGTATATTTTGGCAAGTGCTATACTTTATGTAGTATACCTTATGAGATACTTTATAAACAAGTGCACTTTAAAAATATATCTTTGTCATTAAGTCGAATGCATTGGTGGGCGGAGAATCATTGGCCAGGGGGCTAACAAATTTTATGTTTTAACTGGTAAAGAATTTATGTTAAGAAACGGAGTTTTGAAGGAGCATGTCTTGTATTTATGCACAGATCACGGTTGCTTTCTTATTACTCAAATGGTAAGCTTAGAACTGGAAGCAAAATATTGAGTACCTTTGCAGAGCAGCCTAGCTAGGGTCTGCTATGGAGCAGACATTGTAAATGTGCTTTAGTGTGTGCACACTAACTTTTTGTTTGAGCCCAGAGTGGGGGTTGGGAGAGGAGAAAGCCCTGTGTTGATGAAGTGATTATGTATGCTGATGTGCTGTTGGGGAAGGATTTAGCATCAGCCACTTCTTGCTTTGCATAAATATTTTCAGGATTGGATGTTACAGCCTTAGAGAATAATTTTACCAAATAATAAACCTTTTGCTGACTTGCTTAGGAATACAATAAAACTAAAAAAATGAATCTTAGATTTTTGTGTTTAAAAAAGTAATCCTGTTGGATGAAGCCTTTAATGGTTCCTTTAATGAATCTGAAACTGGTTTTTAGGAATTCTCATAAATAGTGAAGGAGATTGATATGAAAACAGGAGTTTGGGTGAAAGGGGTCATGTACTCTTGGACACAGATTTCAAAATATCCAGAGAAAACGGACATATGATCATGAGAGCAAGGGCTCTGAATATTCAGAAAGAGATGGAGGCTCTAAAAATCAAATTTTAACATAAATAGCTTGGCAAGAGAAAAGGGGATGTGTGTGTGTATGTATGTATGTGTATGTATTTTTATATACATATATATTTTTACATACTGTGTGTTTGCTTCACTTTTGAGTGATGATTTCCATTACCCTATAAATATTTGAATATTTTTAAAAAACTACTTGATCGCTCCACCAAATCCCGATCTTGCTACCACCCCATTTCTTTCTTACAGCAAACCTCTACATTTACTGCCTCTGATTTTTCCTGCTGCTGTTCTTTTTGTAAAGGTCTTCGATTGCCATGCCAGTGATTTTGATAAAGATGTGGCATATATGACAGATATTTTTGATGACAGGGTCAGAATTGCAAAGATCTCGATGTGTAGAATGATGGGCTGTATAGCTTTAAAAAAAAGTTAATAGGAATGAAGACATAGATTTGGGTTAAAAAGAATCACCTTCATGGAGGGAAGCAGAAGGGAGCTAAGGCTTAGCTACCTATCACATGACAAAGCTTGTGAGTTCTCACTGACCTCACCCCACCTTGCACTGCATTTGGGCCTCAAGACTAGATAACTTGTAAGATCCTTCCCTGAAAAAGTTGTGACTGTAAATTAGTAAGACACATATTTTTATTTTATTTTAAGGACAGGGTCTTGCTCTTTTGCCCAGGCTGGAATGCAGTGGCCTAATCATAGCTCACTGTAGCCTTGACCTCAGGGAGTCATTGATCCTCCTGCCTCAGTCTCCCAAGTAGCTGGGATTGCAGGTGCACACCACTATACCTGGCTAATTTTATAATTTTTTTTGTAGAGACAGGGTCTGTCTTAGCCCATGCTAAAACAGATTTTTTTTTTAAGCAAACTTGCTAAATTATACCCATTTAGGGAGAATATTGTTCCTGTTAAACCAGTCATCTTGGGAGGAGGGTGTATTAGTCTGTTTTCATGCTGCTGATAA